GGAAGGATGTGGCTAAGGCATGCATAGTACAACAATGATTTGAGATGTTCCAGTCTAATAATTTTAATCTAGAAAATGAGCCACATGAGCAACCTGAGACCAACATAGATAAGGATGAGCTAAAAGCTGTAGGAGAAGGGAGTCCATCTCAACCTTACACATGAATTAGCAGCAACATTTGATGTTACTATTCCAACAGTGTTGGACCATCTGAAACAAATCAGCAAGGTAAAGAAGCTGGATAGATGGATTCCATATGAAATAAATGAGCATCAGAAGAGAAATTGTCTTGAAGCTTTGCCTTTCATTGCTGTCACAACATAAAGGTGAACCATTTCTACATCATATTGTTAACTGTGATCAAAAATAGATTCTTTTTGACAATCGCAAGCATTTGACACAATGGTTGGATAAAGATGAAGTGCCCAAACACAGTCCAGAACCTAATATTAATCCAAAAAAAAAAAAAAGCTAATGGTGTCTGTTTGGTGGTCCAGTGCTGGCATTATCCACTACAGCTTCATGAAACCTGGTCAGTCAGTTACAGTGGATGTCTATTGCAACCAGTTGGATGAAATGATGAAGATGCTTGCAATTAAGCAGCCAAGATTGGTCAATAAAGACAGGCCAATCCTCTTGCAAGACAACACTCAATATGTTGCACAAACAACTGCTCAAACTACAGAGGCTGGACTTGGAAACTCTCTGTCATTTACCAAATTCACAGACCTTGCACCAACTGATTACACTTTTTGCAGGTGTTGGACCCCTTCTTGCAAGGAAAAATATTCAGTTTTCAACAAGCTGTGGAAAACACCTTTAGTGATTTCATTGCCATTTGGTCTCCAGGCTTCTTCACTACTGGCACATACAAACTACTGTTAAGATGGCAAAACTGTGTTGATAGTTTAGGTGCATACTTGGATTACTCGTACTGCTTCTTGTTTGAGATATAATAAACTAAACTTTTAATTCAAAATCAGACATATCAGATTTAATGACCTAATATAAATAATACATTATCTAATATATTCCTTACAGCAACTCATTGTGGTTTTACTGATTGGTACACTGCAGCTCAGTTATAAAACCTGCAGTTGTAACAAAGCCAAGATCTGAAGTTGTATATTTTGACTTTAAAGCTAATATTCTTAATCACTAAAGTATTTTTCCCCATAGTAGCATTGCTAACTCAGCTCAGTGGTCCAATGCCCCAAAGGTAAGGATTTCCTTCTCTATGATGCTTTTGTTGTCTTGTAGATTTTTTCTTTGGAGTTATAATTCTGTGCTATCATTATTTGTCTGAAGTCCCTATTGGTTTATGAATATCTTGAAGGAAAGATTTATTTCCCTTTTATGTCTGCATACAAACAACAGAACAAAGTATGTGATGTATGGTAGGTAGGTTTGAGTTTATGCTAATATACAATAAATACATTGGCTGACATAATATTGAAAACTATATTGGCTTACATAATTACATTTGAAACATATTTTCTTAATGTTCCTTAAAGGCCTCTCACAAACAGAGAGAAATGTCACGATGGAGAATAAAATGTGGTTAGAAATGAAGGACTAAATGATCATCCTACTATGGCTTGTGCAACACTAGAGCTGGTTTTTGTGATCCTTTTTGAGTTCTACTTTGTAGAAATATGTTAGATGGAAAAAGAAACTTACTGTTGTAAGTTATGTTAAAGCCACGTCCTGACATTGAATGGTCAGCTTGAAATTCCAATCGCAGTATATGACTATTACTTGTAAGATGGGAAGGCACCTCAGCCCCTGTAAAGGTTCCAAGAATTGGAGAGTCTGGAGAGTCACCGTCTTTAACAGCAAGGAAGTCAAACTGGGATTCCAGATCGAAGTCATTGAAAGAAAGATGTATCCGGCTCCCTGGATCAGAGATTATTGTCCAGATGCAATTTAAATTATTTCCATACCCTTCTGGGTAATCAGGAGAAAGAACTGTTCCCATTGGTGCAGTGAAGTTAGAGAGGCAGGGAACTGGTAAAATAGGAAGATTATAAAATACAATAAATATTCAACAATAATATTTTACCTTATTTTTTCATATTC